CGAAGTCCAGATGACATGATTCAACCTTTTTTTTGTTGTTATATACCTGGATGACTGAGAAAACAAACTTTGTGTTTTATATTACATTCATTCATTACACACAGACTTATATATTTCAAATGTTTATTTCTTTCAATGCTGATAATTATAACTGACAACTAATAAAAAACCCAAATTCAGTATCTCAGAAAATTAGAATATTAAGACCGATTTAAAAATATTTTTAGAAATGTTGACCATCTGAAAAGTATGAACATGAAAAGTATGAGCATGTACAGCACTCAGTACTTAGTTGGGGCTCCTTTTGCCTAGATTACTGCAGCAATGCGGCGTGACATGGAGTCGATCAGTCTGTAGCACTGCTCAGGTGTTATGAGAGCCCAGGTTGCTCTGATAGTGGCCTTCAGCTCTTCTGAATATTTGGGTCTGGTGTATCACATCTTCCTCTTCACAATACCCCATAGATTTTTCTATGGGGTTAAGATCAAGCGAGTTTGCTGGTCAATTAAGAACTGGGATACCATGATCCTTAAATCAGCTACTGGTAGCTTTGGCACTTTGTGCAGGTGCCAAGTCCTGTTAGAAAATGAAATCTGGATCTCCATAAAGTTGGTCATCAGCAGGAAGCATGAAGTGCTCTAAAACTTCCTGGTAGACAGCTGTGTTGACCTTGGACCTCAGAAAACACAGTGGACCAACACCAGCAGATGACATGGCACCCCAAACCATCACTGACTGTGGAAACTTGACACTGGACCTCAAGCCACATAGATTCTGTGCCTCTCCTCTCTTCCTCCAGACTCTGGGACCTTGATTTCCAAAGGAAATGCAAAATCTAATTTCATCAGAGAACATAACTTTAGACCACTCAGCAGCAGTCCCAGGTGAGGTGCTTCTGATGCTGTCTCTTTTCAAGAGTGGCTTGACACAAGGAATGTGACAGCTGAACCCCTTGTCTTGCATACGTCTGTGTGTGGTGGTTCTTGAAGCACTGACTTCAGCTGCAGTCCACTGTTTGTGAATCTCCCCCACATTTTGGAATGGGTTTTGTTTCACCATCCTCTCCAGGGTGCGGTTATCCCTATTGCTTGTACACTTTTCTCTACCACATCTTTTCCTTCCCTTCACCTCTCTATTAATGTGCTTGGACACAGAGCTCTGTGAACAGCCAGCCTCTTTAGCAATGACCTTTTGTGTATTATCCCTCTTGTGCAAGGTGTCAATGGTCGTCTTTTGGACAACTGTCAAGTCAGCAGTCTTCCCCATGATTGTGTAGCCTACAGAACTAGACTGAGAGACCATTTAAAGGCTTTTTCAGGTGCTTTGAGTTAATTAGCTGATTAGAGTGTGGCACCAGGTCTCTTCAATATTGAACTTTTTCACAATATTCTAATTTTCTGAGATACTGAATTTGGGGTTTTCATTAGTTGTCGGTTATAATCATCAACATTAAAAGAAATAAACATTTGAAATATATCGGTCTGTGTGTAATGAAAGAATATAATATACAAGTTTCACTTTTTGAATGGAATTACTGAAATAAATCAACTTTTTCATGATAATCTAATTTTATGACCAGCTCCTGCATATCCTGATGCATGCTCAGTAATCCAGGTAGAAAAATCTAACAAAATAAAGTCAGGTCCTCTGGACGGATTCATCTTTTTAAAACATTTCACGTAAAAGACTTTGTCAGTCTGAGGAGTTTTAATAAACTCAGTCTCTTAAATAGCACCTTCTCAGAGTGGATCAACCAGTTTGCTGCTGACAGCCAAAACCAGCTGTTACATGCAAAAGGAGGACCATCAGCCTAACAATGGATTGTTAGCACCCTGATGGTTGCTTGCTATTCACAGGGGGCTGAGTGATACTAGCAATGACAGCAGTGTAAGAGGGGGGCAGTTGAACCCGGAGGCCTCCACCCTTGTTTAGTGATGGACAGTTTCTCTTCATAAAGATGTCCTCCTTCTCTCTCAAACCAACATTCCTTTCTATCCAGGATGTGCACATCTTCATCCCTGAAAGAGTGACCACTGGCCTGGAGATGAGTGTAGACCACAGAGTCCTGGCCTGATGTTGATCTTCTGTGCTGGGCCATCCTTTTGGCCAGTGGCTGTTTAGTTTCCCTGGTGTGAGACTGATCACAGCTCTGACACTGAACAGCATACACAATATTACTCTGTGCCGGGGGACTGGATCTTTGGGATGGACTATTCTTTGCCATAATGTATTTTGGGGGTTGAAAGCCACTGGGACGTTATGTTTAGAAAGTAAACATCTCACTTTCTTTGAAACTCCTGCAACATACGAAATGACCACTGGTCTGGGTTCCTCCTTTTCACCTGTTGGCTGACTGGAGTCCTGTTTGGGTTTCTTCTCTGCTTTCAGGAAGGCCCAGTTAGGATATCCACATTGCTCCAAGACCTGTGTTGTGTGGGATTTCTCCTTCTGCCTGGCTCCTGAGTTTGGCAAAACTTTGAAAATTTTGTCATTAAAGGGGACTTTTTTTGTTGCTACTGTTAATATCTGTGAACAGGAATAATCATACACTAACTTGAGGAATAAATTAATGAATCATAACTGGAACAGGGAGGGCATAACACAGAATAGGTGTGTCTGATGATGTTAAAGGCTCCCAAAAGATTAATAGTTAACTAAGTTTAAAGGTGGCTTTACAAATGAAGGGATAATCTTAGGTATACATTAAAAATGTAGCTGTTTAAAGTGGGAAAATAGCTGTTACCTTATCTAAAAACATTTATAGAGCATTGCACTAGGCTGAAATATGACCCTAAACATCACACTGCATGTGCCCAAAGCCTCTAAATCTGTTTTGTGTTGCAACCAAACAACACGTTGAACACAAGGAGTCCTGCTCACATTTGTTTATAAGACTCTGAGCAATTCAAATAATTTGGGCTCCTTTTTTTTAAGTCTAGTTCAAAAAGAAGAATATGTGTTTAGTTAATCCCTCTGTGCACGGACCCACAAAACTATTTAAAGTAGTTTATATAGCTTTGCATTGCAGAGCTGCTTAAGAACGATAAGCCTCTCTTGATCCACAATGTGCTGCCCTCAAAAGTTTAACTATCCATTTTCTTCACCTGTGCTTTTCTGTGCAGGGTTGTGGTGACCTGGCGCCTATATGCAGAGGTCGTGTAAACCCTGGGATTATTACAATACATTTCCATGCCTCATGCAGTACTTCTTTTTTTTTCTTTCAGATTTTGTTTTACTCATCATTACATTTAAAAAAAAAAGTGCATTTTTCTTTCAGTAATGAACAGTATATTATCTTTGACCCCATAATAGTTCTAGATGCTCCACAAATAATAATAAAATGACTATTAAAGATATATTTTAAGAGAATTCTCATTTCTTTGTAAATATATATATATTTTTTTTATTTGTGTGCCTAGTTTTAGGAAATTGTGCATATTTTTTTTAAATATAATTTGAGGCGTCAAAGATTTGTGCCTATTTAGGATCTTTTTGTACACTTGATGTGTTTGTGCTTTCTGTTTGTGTTCATTTGAATTCATTTTGTTGTGGTGGTTTTTATAAAATTTAATTTCATTTGACATTCTATTCTCAGATAATTTTGCATCTTCTCAGGACTATGCTGTTTGTGTGCTTGGCTTTTTGCAGATATTTGTACTAATTTTATTACTTAATGTTTCCTACATGGTTCATTTTGGTATCTTATTTTATGCTTTTGAAATCTACCTCCTGCTTTGTGATTTAGAACTTTAGTTTAATTTTGTAGGTTTAAATTATAAATTTGGACAAATAAACCTAACTCTTTCTCAAATCTGAGCTTTATGCCAGGGTTGTTTTAGACAATGCGGGTTTAGCTTCAACTTCCTCTGCCTGAATTTAAACTAATCTGAACAATTCAGGGAAATTCACCTTTTCCTCCTTCCTCCATCAACACCGACTGACCAATAGGATGTCGAGTATTCCCAAAGCGCCCGCCCACTGCCGCATCTGATTGGCTCAGTCGCTCCTCCGTTAGCTTTCGTCGGCTTCTGTCCCAAGGGAGGGAATAAGGTAAGCTAGCTGCGAGTCAAGGAAAAGGAAAGCTCATTAGTTGTTGCCAGGCACACGGCGTACACCTTCAGAAAAGGTTGCTGGCCCTGTTGACGTCGCTTCTTCCTCGCTGTTTATGACTCAAGAAGATGAAGAGCGAAAAGAAACGAGGAGTACAAGTTTGAAAAGAAGAAAGTGTCAGGTACGTCGGACTGAGGCAGGAGCAGCAGGTGTTCGAGCACCGCCGCAGTTTCGGTTGACAACTGTCAACTTTTCAGCTACAGTTTTAATTATTTCCTAGGACAGTAATTGGTTAGTTTTTATTGTTAAAAAAAAATCTTTAAAGTATATGTTTTTTGTTGTTGTTGTAGTTTAGGCTCGTTGTGTCCTCGAATGAACTGCTACTTGTTACCTCGTGGGACTTGAAATATTATACCAATGTTTGTACTCCAGCTGAACATAGCAGCTGTGTTTTCTAACTTTTTAAAAATACAGATAATAAGTTATCATTTATTTTAACACGAGTCTTCTTTACTGGTTTATATGTGGTTAAATGGTGAGGGGAAAAATAACTGATTAGAAAGCAGGGAAACTATATAAATTCACCTTTTCCACTTTTAATGCTTCAGGGTTTGAAAGTGAGACCAACATGTTTTGGACATGACCCTGAGCCCTAGACTGATGTAATGGTCTTGGTAATACAGCTGCACCTCTAACTACTGTTATCAACACATTTAATTACTGTTGTCTTGTTCTATATGTTGCACAGACCGATAGAAATGCACCTCATCTAATGGACTCAAACTGATACGTGGCCCTAAATTATGCACAAGGGGCCCTTTCTGCCAAATGAGGGAGACCATGTTTTATTTAAAGTGGGAACAAAGGGCACAACTGCTGTGGCACGGTAGCTCAGAGGGGAAACCAAACACTGTTGTTGATGCACTCAGTGTTTTGGTCAGATGGCGGGTGCAGCTCACCAGCCTCTCTGTGTGGACGCCATGTCCAGATGGCTCACAAAGTGTGCAGAGACTCCACAGGAAGTTCAGAATAATGTCCATTTCAGCTAACGCATGACTGAACACAGAGGCATAAGACTCCAAAGGTGCATACCTGTTGATCCAATTCTCATTTTATGTTGCGTTGCTCTAAGAACCATGTCAGGTAAAGCAAGTAATGCAATTTAAAAAAAAAAAAAAGGTTTGCAGTCTCAATCATCCAGGTAGGTATGGGATTTGCCTGTCTAAATAAAGGTTGAATGAAAGATAACAACAAAAAGAAAAGGTTAAATCATGTCATCTGGACCAGTTTCTTTAAGGGAGAAACTAGGGATGCGCGATATTATCGGCATGGTATCGTATCGGCCGATATTGGCGATAAAGTTAAATATCGAACATTCCATCAAAATAACTCAATATGAAAGGCTTCTGTTTTAACTTAATGTTTAATTTAAGAAACTGTCAAGTATGTACACACTACTACTTATGCGCTTTTCACTTGTCATTTATAAACAGGTTAGATTTGTGAAAATGTACACATTTGCACTGTTCGAGTGTTTTGTCATTGTGTTAGAGTAAATGTCATGAATAAATTTGACATTAAACATAATCCAAGTTGAAGTGTTGCATCATTTTCAGCCCCGTTTTTGGCATCTGCATTTGGTAGCAGGCCAAGTTGACAAAGACCATGCAGAGTAATGTAGAATTTTAATTCCACAGCAGAGAAAGCTGTGTAGTCTCTGTAAGTAGGTCTAGGTGGAAATAATATCGGTATTGGTATTGGTTATCGAACAAATAAGTTTTCGGATATTGGCCAAAAATCCAATATCGTGCATCCATAGGAGAAGCGTTTGGTCTTCCATCCAGAAGACTTCATCAGCCAACAAATGCAATGTAACTTAACTCGAAGCCGAATTACTGTAACACCCATGTTTTGGTAATATGATATGGAAGGTGGAGCGTACAAAAGCCTGAGTTTGGGGGTTTTGTACTTGCAGGAAGTTTAAAGAAAAAACGACAGCCGGAAACAAAAGATGGAAGTAAACAGAAGTGCAAGGCTATTTTAAAAAGCAGTAGGGTCATAGAGGACTTGTATGTAAATGTAGCCTGGGTGTCAAAACACAAGCGCTTTTGTCACATTAGTTTTTTTTTTTTTTTTTTTTTTACCATCTGTAAAGAAAGAAAGAAAACTAGGAGGTAATGGCTTCAGGCTCAAAAGAAAGGACAGTATGTTGTTTAATGGTGTGTTTTTCAAGCCGTGGAAAATTACTCTGCTTTTCAGTATGAGGTTAAGACTCGGATGTTTACATTCTTTATGCGACCTTTTACCCAGCCCACCTCTGCAGGAATGAACGAACTGCTTTAACAATGTGCCTTCAGTTCATATAATTAGACGTTTGATTCACACACACAAACAAACTAGTAAAGTTGTCTAACCTAAATAAAATTGTATTACATGTGAAACAAACGCTGCTGAAACAAATTCTCACTGTGTGCGCTGTTGCTTTGAACCTCATTGAAGGTATCAGATAAAGGGTAGCGGGAAGGTGTCATATCTTAAATCAGTTAACAGTTTGATGTTTTTTGTTTTTAGTGCCCTTATTGTTCACTCTTTCCTGTAAAAGGAATTGCCAACTTCTTGTTTTCTACCTGCATGATGCAAGACTTCGGCATACGCTGATGTTTGTGGGAAAATGGATATTTCATCCTACCGCAAAATAATATTAAAAAAATAAAGATTAGAAGCTAAATTATACTAAAAGGGGGATAATTTTTAGTCATGCAATAATTTATCCAGACTGATTACATGAATTTAGAAATAATGAACTGTTAATCTTATAAACGTATTAGCTACCGCTGCTTTTTTTTTTTTTTTTTTTTTTGAATAACCAAAGGGTACACTGAAAATAAAAACAAAATAAATTAATAAGACTGTGCCAGTTTGATTAGGCTTAAAGTAAAGGTTGTTATTTGACGAAAATCCTTCAGACATTTAAACTGTGCAAGAGATAAATGGAAAAACATGTCCCAGCTGTTCAGTTTAATGGCATTATGTCATACAGAAGTTACTCTTTAAGGGTTTTGTTACGCCAGGGTGATGCTGTCGCATAATAATTAAACCCTAGTTAACATGGAGTTTAGTCGACATAAGCTTGAGTGATTCTGAGGTTTTGCCAATAATGTAATGTCCTTGGGAAGGCTGATAAGAATGATAGACATTTGACAGTATTTTCACAGGTATTCAACAATGTGCATCACTGAAATCACTACATGGAAGGTCACATCAAACATGGAGAAAACTATTAGGGCAGATTATTTGGTTCTGTTGAGTGAGGACCCACAGGAGGAGAAAGGCCAATTGGCTTATACAAGTTGAAATATCTGCGGGATTAATAAGTTATTGAACTAACGCAATAACCTGGAGGTTAAGTGGCAGTGTGACAAAAATAGAAAATTAATGCCTGAATGCATTAGCCTGAAAATGTAGTACAACTTGAAATAAACTGGTCGTGCGACAGTGGAAAGGAAAACTTCTTCCCTCATGAGGAAGAAACCTTTAGCAGAACCAGGCTCGGGACACGCGACCATCTGCTTCAACCAGCTGGTTTTGAGAGGAACAGATACACAATGGCAGGTCGAGAATCACATGTTAAGATATAAATAGTATCAAATGAAAACTATTCAGCTGTAACAATTCATTTAAGGAAATGTGGTCAATTTGTCCTCTAGTAGTCTTAAGCCTATAGCAGCATAAGAAGCCAACGCTAACTATAGGATTTATCAAAAAGAAAAGTCTTAATCCCAGTCTTATAACTGGACAATGTGTCAGCCTCACAGACAGAAACTGGAAGTTGGTTCCACAAAAGAGGAGCCTGATAACTGAAAGATCTTCCTCCCATTCTGTCTATGGAAGCTCTAGGAACCACAAGTAAGCCTGCAGTCTGAGAGTGAAGTGTTTTGTTAGGAAAATATGGAACAATAAGATCTGTAGTATAAGATGGAGCTAGGTTGTTGAGAGCTTTGTATGTTAGAAGTAAGATTTTGAATTCAATTCTGGATTTGACAGGGAGCCAGTGGAGAGAAGCTAAAACTGGAGAGATATGATCTCTCCTACTAACTCCAGTTAAGACTCTGGCAGCAGCATTTTGAATGAACTGACGACTTTTTAAAGAAGTATTTGGACACCCATAATGAGAAGATGTAAAGAGTAACAAAAAATGTCCATTTATGGGATACAGAAACGTTCCTTGGTTGTCTTGCCTTATGGCTGCAACTCTCAACGAGTTAGTTTAAAGCTTCGCTTGTGCCGTACTCATTGCGTGTCCATCATCCCTCTATGGGCTTATTTTAGAGTGTGTTCAGAAGACCTGTCCACAGTTTACTTTCAAATTTTATATAGCTTCTTCAGCTCTCTGCTTTCCCATCTTTGTCTTGTTTCTTATCTATAGTTTAAGGGTCTTTTTTGTAGCCAGTGGCAATGTTTTTAAAACCTGGGTTTGACCATGCACTTGTAGGTAATTGTGTCATCAGACCCTCCCTCTATTGTTGAAGGAGCAGAAAGGTTTCCCATATAAGTTAACAGACATAAAGGACACAGGACATAAAGATGTAAAATCTGAGAAAAATGGATGTCAGAGGTCATCGGTGGTAGATACAAGAGCCCCTGGGCGTCACTTGGAAAGTATTTGTTGGTCTACTCATTCCATTTCATTTCTGACAGGACCACACCTACACCATTATTTAGCTCTTTAAGACCCTCATTGTAAAATAGTAGTGTCATATGACACGGGTATTGGAATGAGTCGCCTACTCATATGAACTGCTTTTAAAAATACTTCCTGCTCGGCTTTCTTATATTTTTTTTTTAGCAGGGAAGAACACTGGACTTCCTTTCTTGTTTCTTGAAAATGTTTCACCTTTCATCCAAAAGGGTATTATGGATTCTGAAACAATTCACAGGCTTGACGGGTAAGTCAGGGACTCGTGTGACTCAAATTACCCTTTCAATATCCCATCAGTGATTTATAAGCCTGAAATTTATAATCCATAATCAAAACTGAAGAAGTCTTTCGGAAAATAAGTGAAACCTCAAGAAACAAGAAAGTAAGTCTTTGCTTTTCCATCATTCTGTATAGCTAAGAGCAACACGCATATAGTAGTAAATTTTGACTGTCAGTGGTTTTTTTTTTTTTTTTTTAAGAAA